ACTCAACCGGCCGATCCTGTAAAGCGAGTCTTAGCACACGCGAAAGAGTTCTTGACGGGCATGAAACGCGCGCTGACTGCACGCTACTATGCCATCGGTCTCTTTTTCTACGATTATATTAAATTTGGTTAAGTCAAATGATTCATCGCAATAAAGTTTTGTGAAAAGATCGCGGAATCAATTGACATAGTTGATTATAAGTTATATAATTATTGCTGAAATAAATTGAAGCAAATGTGTGTATGATTGTGTATAATTTACTATAATAAAAAAATCCGGATTTCTAATCAAGATTATTTTTCGTATAAACTTTTCTAATTTTTAAGATATCGAAATTCGAAATTTACGAATGCAATACATAATTCAAGTTCGATTTTGTGCGCATTTTTCTCATATATCGGATTTATCGCATATTGATTAAACGTTATCTTGCGAGGACGTTAAAGTCGAAGGTTTTCGTGTTAATATCAATTGCGTGAAAGTGTATCACGATTGACAAGCAAGCAGGCAAACTGTTTACAAGTTACAAGGAGATAGAAGGTTGAAAAGTCAAGAGAAGGTAAAGGAAGAGATAGAAAATAGGGAGGGGATGAGAAGGCGAGCGATTTAGTGACCGTATGCATCGGTTTCCCCTCTAGTCGTCGATCTAACGTGAACCAGCCATCAGAAACGCGCACGTCTATATGTATGTACAGAGAGGCCACTAGACACGTATAAAGGCAAAGAGGCACAACCAAAGAGTAGCGGAAGTTAGGTTTAGGTGGGAGCGCACGTAGAGAAGGGTACATGTTAACCTGTAGTGGGGAACCGCGTTGGAAATGTTATGCTATGAGGCTATACTGGCGAAGAGAGAGATAGGAAGTGATGGTGGATTAGAGAAGTGGGGATACGCGATATCGCTTTTGGAGGGGTAACGATGGTGACCGTGGTGCTACGGTGACGATGGTAGGAACGAACCTGGATACGCTAAGGTATAGTGGGGAGTCAGACCCCCGGTCACTGACTCTAGAAACTACGACAGCTTTTGTGCTTCATTCACGAGCGCGCCACCTACTCGTGCACGGCAGTTTATGTTTGCCAGCGAACATCTTTTCTCTTTTCTTACCACTTTTATCTTTGCGTCTCTGCATTCGTTCCCCTCTTTTTCACTTCACTCAGAATTTCACCATTTATCTCTCTATCTTTCTCTTTCTTCTTTGGTTGCTGTTTCATATGTCGGTATCATATTTTCTCAATCATCTCACTTGCGCGATACCTATGTGGCTTTTTCCATCGTTATCGCTCACGCATCTGATTTATCACGCGGTTCGTTACGATCAACAACAATTCTCGAGCATGCAGTGATGGTGCGCACGCTGCTGCACACAGTATATAGGAGTACACAGTGGACACAGGCTATCGATGGCGAAGGTGGGAGTAGGGTGTAACGCGGAGGGGGATCGCGTAGGTAGCCACGCGAGATGCATTGTATGCCCGCGGAAGGAAGGAAGGCAGGCATAAAAAAAATGCATGCGATACAGGTCAGATCGATCTTCTCGTTTCATACGTTCGTGCGCGTCGACGCACATCCAAATGAATGTGTCAAGTGAGTTGGCAAATGCAATTTAAATTTACGTGTCATGAAAAGAATGGTTATTAATATATCGTTATTGAATAAAATATGAATAAGTTTTATCTGATGATTTAAGCAAAATTCATTTGTGTAGAATGTTTAAAATTGAAAATTATTTTATATATCAAGTATTTTATAGAAATAGAAGTTTTTATTAAAGAATAATGAGATTAGAAAGAGAGAAAATTTACATATAAATATAAGCATATGTAATAATGACATGTTATTGCGTTGGACTATTTTTCCCGTGGGTCATGATGAAACCTTAAAGGAAGGTGAATATACATATAGGAAGATCGATCCCTTGTTTTCACGGTCACGCCTCTATGCGCACAGTTGAAATGCGACAGGAGATGGGGAAAAAGTACATTTGACGATAAATCTCGGTTTTATCCTTACTGTGTTATTTTTTTTCACGCGACATCACAAGCAAAAATTTTTGTTATCGAATAACTTAATGATAAATGAGTTTAAATAAAATTTTTTGCAAAGATATGCGAACAAATGATCTATTAATAAAATGTTTGTTGTTTTTTTATAATATTTTTTCTTTATTGTACAGTAAAATGAAATGTTTTTTTTTTTGAATCAAATAATTAATTTTCAAATGAATATTATTTTATTTGAAAAATATAATAATAAAATAGATTTATTTTCTATTAGAAAAGTTATGTTTGAAATTTATAAAAGTTAATAATTTAATTTTATAAATTAGAAGTGATTTATAAAATGAAAAACGAGTATTGGTCTTGCACATGAACTCAATCGTAATATGGATGATTTAAACATTGTAATTCGCTCCCTATCTCCGCGCATCCGGTCTGTTACCGCGTTGCGCGTGCTCACTGGTATGGTGGTGCGTAATATAACAGGCAATGCGCGTTAAACGATAATTTAAGTCTGTCTATCATGTACTTAAATGATGCTTTACAATTCAGGTTTACAACTTCATAGTATATGTTGTATCGAATTTGTATTTAGTAATTTGACTATGCTAAAAGTATAAATTTTTTAAAATAATCCATGAACATAGAATTATTTAATTTCTCTTTATTATTACATGCAATTGATTTAAATTCGATTTTTTGAATATCTATTTGATATTTTTTCTTTTTTTTAATATATATGTTTTTTAATTCTAATTTTACAAAATAGTACAAAATAAGATTAATGATTTTTTTAAAATTTTCAATATATAAATATTATATAGATTCTTGTTTCATATATATATATATATATAAAGTTTATCAATATTAAGATTGATATGGTACTGCTTAACTATTCCAGAATTCTAGGTGTGTAATCGACCACTACACCATTGCTAACCACTCCTATCGCACAGCATCAGTCAATGTGCATTGTATGCTGTTCTATAAACTGTTATAGAGGTGCTCGTAATCTATTGATAGTTACATGTCGAGACTCATACTGACCAAATATGCGTAGATTAGCCATATATAAAAATATACACCATAGAAAAAAGAAAATAGAGGATGAAAATATGAGAGGATTGTGAAATAGAAAAGTAGATAAAAAATGTGAAAATAGTTTTTAAAAAAATTGGCAATCACATATTCATCACTGGAAATATCACAAATGGGACAAAGACATTAATTCGACGAATCAAATATTGGAGCAAAACAAAGTAGGTTAGATTAGAAGAACGGATAAATAAGGGCAGATAAAGCGGAGCAGAACGCAGCAGTGCACTGTGTCGACGAACGAGCACGCGGGCAAATGAGTTGCACGAATGCGCATGCGCTTTGTCCCCGGCAAACCCCCACCATATGTGTCCGGCCGCGTGGCGTCCTGATCAATTGCGACGTTGCCGAGTCTTGGCTGACCCGGTGAAAGACGGAGGAAGAGAGATAAAGCAAGACGGTGCTCCCCGGCGTTTTCATTTCTCCCCACCACTCAATTTATCGTTACCGCTCACCCTGCCGACCTAGGGGAATATCCTTGCCCGTCCCTACTGTCGTAGCACGTGGAGACGCGCCTCTTTCAATTTTTCATACCTTATCGACCTGTGGATTCAACCGTCCATATGCCGCGGCAAGATGCCGTTTAAGAAAATCTAGGAAAGAATCAGGAATAGAAACACGATGAAGGTACAACGGACTGACGTATAGCATTTATTTCTTTTGCATTAGTAGCTACTATTTTTCTGTTCGTTGTATGCTATTACATTTATCATAATATTGTGTGTAGAGAATAGGAAAGAAAGTAATATTGAAAAATAAAATACATTTAAATATCTAAAAATTTTATTTATATATTTTAATATATTTTAATTATTAGGAGAATTTATTTTAAAATTTTACAATAAAAATACTTTTTTCTCTTTTAAAAGATTAATAATTTTTTTCGTTATATTTTTCAGGTGCCAAATTAAAAAGGGAACGTACAGAACAAGATGATTTATTTTGCGAAGAAAAAATGCTTATTATCGACGGTAAGTGTCAATAAAAAAATTTTAAATTTCATACGTTTTTTTGCATAAAATAATAATATGAAATGATACGAATGTACGATGATTTAGCGCAATCGGTCGCATGTTTTTGTAGTCGAGAAGATTTTATTTAATTTTTAACTTTTATAAAATTCAAAACATATAACGTTTTTTTGCGCTACTTTGAATCGTACATATATACACGGTGCGCACAAATAAGTCGCGTACACCGTTTTAATTAACCAATCGATTGTCCTTCCTGTTACGGTGATCATGCATAATTCACTGAGTTCGAGTAGTTTCACGCAGTTGCCTTCAATTCCTAACCTGTCGATCGACGAGGATCCAGTTTCTCTACGTGACGAGGCACCGTGTCTGTCGTTCTTTAAACCTTTGCGGTGCCAACGAACACGGAAAAACACGGTGACGGTTACTAAACAGAGATAAAGGAGCTTGTATTGGAACAAGCTACGAAGTCAAATGATTCAATCAAAATGTCGTTAACTCTCTTCATTTTTTTTTATATTTATAACTTTTTTTTAAGTCATCGAATGTATAATTTGTCGATCTAACGATTTTCTTTCGCTCCGATTACGTTTCGAAATGTACACGCGACTTCGCGGCGACCGTTTCAAGTTTCAACACGTCACGGGATGTAAGTACAATATATACATATATTAAAGAGGGAGATAGATCGAGACAGCGTGCCCTCGGGCGACAAGGACAGAGTGTCGCGGGTGACTGGAGGCAGTTCTCGTGCGAACGGAGATGTCACGGAAAGCGGTGGCGGAGGACCGAGAGGAGATTGGTCGGCATCGCTGCCGCCGTCGCCACTGGCGGCGTGCACGGGTCGACGAGGTGGGGTAAGGGAATAGGGGATCGTCATCCTCAGGTTGGAGGCGGTGGCACTTACGTTTAGACTTCAGTCGGCACCCGCGACTCACGCGGTTATGAGTTTCCTTCGTTTATCGATTTATCCACGCAATCGTCCGATCGGTACAAGTGATCAATCATTATTTCGTCCGATCAGTATACATTTATACGTCTTACTTATCGACCGATGATCGATTTACAAAATTATTCGATGACTACAACGCGACATTTCCACATCGATTGATATGTTATAGTTTTTTCTATTTCACTTGAAGAATACTTCGTATAATATCGATTCGATTTGTGAAGTCATATATACAAGAAGTTAGACCGTCTGTTAGATACGCAAAAAGGTCGCTGGTCGAGGTTGCAGGCACACCGATATTCAAGACGCAGCATTATCATTTACGATTACACAAGTCGGGAATCTGTCGAATGAAAGAACCACATTGCGATTTAGGATAGTGTTATATATGATCTATAATTTTATAAATTTTTAAACGTTATCTCGAAAAATTGTTCTCGAAGATAAATCACAAAATTTATTTTATTATCACGATATTACTTCGAAAATATTGAGATCCGTATGATCGATCAATAGAATTGAAGAATATATTCATTTCATGATATTTAAAATTCATAAAGCGAATATTCAAAACGTTTAAAAGGATTTCCATATTGAAATTGTGCATGTCAAGTTTTGAATATATCGAGATCGAATGCACAAGAATACTTGTCAGAAGCAACACCACGCACAAAGTATCGGGAGTGTTTCGAAAGTTCTAATTTTTTCCTGCCGGTATAAACAGCGACATCGTCGTGTTCACTTGTCGTAACCGTTTCCCCTCTCTGTGTGAAACTGTGACGCAGCCCTCTCTCCTTTCCACGCGCTTCGCATTCCCGGTCGTTTCCACTTCTTTTCGACGGACCACTTGGTTCGACGTGTCCTGGACGACAATTTTATCGGTCATCGAAAGGCTATGCGTCCACAACGATTCGACCGTCAGCCAACGACGTCTTTATCTACCTCGTGCACACGAATGATGCTTCGTTTTTTGAGTTTTTCGACAAGAAGACGCGTGTCCCTTAAGGAGAAGCTCAACGACGTGTAATCGTGTGCATACTGATTGAAGTTCCTATCGAAGAAAGTTCCCAAATCCTTTATATTGGAAAATTATCATTATAATTACACCATACTGTATTTCTCGTTCGATCGTCACACATGATATCTAGTTTCTTGGTTATAAGCAGACGAGAAGATATCGATAGAAGGAAACACGATCTTGCCATTGTTGATTGCAAATTCATGGGTTTTATGAAATATCATCGACAATCTGGGATTATAGAATAGAAGATTGCTGGAGAGAATAGCAAATGGATATAGAAATCGTTCTTTAGACGTGTTGAGAAAGGAGACTTGGAAAAAAGAAAGAAAGAATATTGAGTGTGTGTATATGTCAGTATATGTATATCTGTAACGGCTAGTACAAGCGTGTGCTCGTTTTTTTTCTTCCTTTTCTTCTTTTTTCGTTCTTTCGACGCGTGTTCGTACGACAGAGAGCAACGTGTGTGTGATCGCGAGTGATCGTCAAGAACATGGGAGTTCTGTTGGTATCGGATGGCACAGCGGCGGTTCAACCTCGTATGAATTTGAACACTGTTAAAGCTGCGGGAGCGCAGCGTGCGATCGACGTTGGTAACGAGACGAATAACAATGTAAACGGCCTGAGAGACGCGAATAGTCCGATGCCGACGCAGGTCGTCGGTATAATCAACGTGGTCAACGACGAGCCGGTGCGCAGCTGGATGCCACCTCCACCTAAGAAAAAATGGATACGACATTATCTGCTCGGTGAGCCAATCTTTTTCTATGATTTTTTTCCTGTGTGTTTTTCATCTCGATTTGAACGCCTCGGATTTTTAGTTTTTATGAAATATCGTTCGTATAAAGATTAATATATATTATCTACTTAGATACGAGTGGTATCGGAATGATTATGATTGTATGAAGAGTATCAATTTACACATACTGTTAGATAGTTCAGTAAGTAAAATATTATGTGAAGAATATTCTGTAGTCATCACATGGATTTTATTTATAAGAAAATGAAAAATATATGTCACTGATCAAGTGATATTTCAAAAAATTGGACATTATGGAATAATTCAATATTAATTTATATATGATGTTGTATAATTATCGTTTGATATAATTGTTAAATCTATTCTGCAAAATATTAAATTGAATAAAAATAATAAGAAAAAAAAAGTGTTGTTATGCTATTAGCTAATAGAAAAATATATTCTTAAAATAGATTCTTAACATAAAATTGACATTTTTGGATTTCATTCATCGAATATTATTAGAAGAATAAAAAAAAAATAAAAAATTATTCGCGCTTCAAAACGAAGTTCAATTTAATTGTACACAATGATATTTGTTTGATAAAATAATATAACCTTAAAATGAAAAAGGAACTATGATCGGTCCTAAAAGTTTCCCGCGTTTGAGTTAGCAATTTGAAATTAATCCAGAGAATGGAGTTTGTAGAAATTTTGTTGAATTGTAACAATAATCAAGCAGACGTTCGTCGAAAATTAAAATTATAATTAATAAATTATAATTACTTATACGAAATATATATTTCATCTTTTATTTTCACAAATAATTGTATTTAATTTTTATGAATTCCATCTTATAATGATCCATTTCTAACAATATTCTCAGATTATTACTTGAGAGTTAAAATTCAATATTATTGTTTCTAATTCATTTTATATTTTTATTATATTTTTTTATTATATATTATTTTATTGGATTGTTTTTTATCGAAAGGACAATTTTTCATTTAATTATCTGGATTCATGAGGAACGATCGAACAGTTTACATCCATATTACTTCAATATTGAAAACGCGATAAAGCCTCGATCCGACGATAACCGTGTTTCAAACGTCTTTTATCGATCAATTACTTGGGCAAATATCCTGTAATTAGAGAATGTCGTGCAGATAATGAACAGAAAGGGAAACTCATGATTTACGCAATTAAACATGTGTTGGCTAGTTACAGAGGAACTTGATTTTTGCATCACGTTTCCGTGTTTATGGATGAATGAACGCGATAGAAGAAGCTCATTAACAATCGTGACAATCGTGGATTTGTATCATGTGGTCTTGTACCATTTAATATATTTGATATTTCGCGTTTGCTTGTAATAATTTACAAATTTCTTTTTTTGTGACTAGTTTTGGAATTAATGGAATAGAAATTATTATAAGAACTAGCTTTGATTTTTTTTACTTTATTTCAATTTGTTTTTTTTTCTATTAACTCGTAGACATTATACAATAAAAATCTAATTTTTTAATATATAATCAAACAAGTTTTTTTTTACATATATCACAATAAATATATCACAATATTACATTTATATATATTATATTTATTAATGAATGGAAAAAAAGAAATGAAATATGTATTGTTATAAATATTTTTTTCCTGCAATTTAACTGAAATCAAAGTTTTCGATATTTTAATTTATTTTATAAAATTTAAAAAAAATTAAAGCAAAATTTATTAAACTTCCATATTATTTATTATATCTTCATCGACACGAATAATTATTATTTCGATTGAAAAAAAAAATTTGAAAAATTAAAAAAATATTTATTTAAAAAATCGACGTTACTCCATAGTACAAAGGATAAAAGATTTCCGTTCGCGATTTCAATTCGCACATTCGATCCGCTCGTTCGATTTGCAAAATTGCTACGGTGTGCACGGGTGTGCTTCTAATTTTAAAGCCGACTCGGTTTGGCGTGACATCAAGGCAATTATACGCGTGTGCATTCGGCACACACCGTACGTTACCGGTCCCCTCGCGATACCACCGATTTCCTATTCCATCTTGCCCACGGGTGTCCGCTTTACTCCTAGTCGTTATCTCGCCGGCACGTGGTCGCTCGCGACGCCGTATCGCGGCCGTGACACTGCACTTAACCATCAACTAGCAGTCGTAACAATTCCCTGCGGTTACAGTTTTCAACGGTGGCGGCAAGAGCGCGACGAGCAACCGGGTCGACGGGCAAACCCACTCATGACGAAATATATATCGCACTTTTTATCGATCACATCATTACGACCGTTTGTATATACACGTTTACATTACGCGATGTCGTTGATTTGTACACGCATGCAATCGATATAATATGTACGCGATTATTAATATTTTTAGTAGAATATGATCTAGAAGTAGGCTATTGAAGAGTGGGATGTTCTTCTTTATCGACGTCATTCAACGATAGAGAATATTATGAAATATTATGAAATTCTTATAGTATTCATGAAAATGAATCTTTAAATATCGTTTGAGAAATTTGAATTTAAAGTATAACCTTTCTATATATATGTTAAAACTGTTGAAAAAATATAATAATTAAGTATAATAATTTTATTAAAGATATAATTTAATATAATAATTTTTTGGTGCTAGTGACATTAAACTAGTGTTTTTCCAGAACGACTTTTGATTGGTGATTTTTGAACTTAGTTTATAACTATTTTTTCGAAATCTTTAAGTTATTTTTGTAATCTATGTGAATCGTACGATTGTAAAATTTCGTATATTCAATTTTTTTATCTATGCTTACGCGATTTAATAAAATTTTCGTTTGATGTAATAACAAAAATTTGCTACTCGTTCTCGATCTATAATAATATAAAATATCCTACGAAAAAAATGATTCTATATTAAAAAAATTAACATTAAATTAACAGCCTGTATAATCAAGGACTTTGTTATAGCTTTTACGAAAATATTCGATTAGGATAGATAATTCTAGGTGACTTTTTTTATTGGCAACGCAATTGAAGCTGCTCCCGTTAGAAAAGGTTTCGTTTAACGAAAGACACCGTTAAAAGGAGCCATGTCTTTTTTTCTTGAGCATCGAGGATGCTTCGACTTTAAAGTGGTTACGCACGCACAGCCTATAAATATTCTTTAGCTGGACGTTGGGTTCTCGCGTTACAGCAGGACCACTGATTGAGCTAGCAGGGATAGATTGGCTAAAACTTTAAATACGATTGATTCTGACCGTGAACCATCGATTTGGAAGTTTACTTTTGTAAGAAAATTTTGAGAGATCAATCAGATCTCATTCTACTTACATCGAAATATTCGCGATAAAATTTATAAAAGGAACGATAATTGGGAAAAATCTTAATTATTTATAAATTATTAAAATTGGAAATTATTGAAATATAAATATAATTATTTTTTTATTTTTATTATTTAAATAGAAGAAATTAATTTTCTACTCATTTTCGATTCGAAACAAATCTCGAATCGTGGATATTCAATCGATCCAGAAGGATTTCGTCAGTCGAAACGTCGCATCGTATTATCACGTGAAGTGGACTTCACTTTTGATGTCGGACGTAAATAGGCGTGTTTACATTTACATCTAGTTACTTTGACCTCGAACCGTAAAGGCTGATTTCATGCCGATTTCGCAGATAAAAGAACAGTCACGTTCTTTCGTCTCTGACCATTTTAGCTCATCGCGGGGAATTACCATTCGAACGTCCGTCTAGACGGGCAGGCTTGTCTCTATAGTCTTTAATCTTAGCCTGCAGTTCCTCTCTTCCAAAGGATTTTGTTGGAAGATATGCTCAATGAGAGCCATTCGTGGTTTTAATATCTGTGAAAATATCGATTATAGATTCAAGTCTTCTTTATTTCTTTATATTGTTTCTTCTTTTTTTGAATATTTCCTCTCCTTTTTTCCCGATTTCTTTGCGAATTTGTTTCATAAATAAAATAAATTAGAATTTTAAATGTAATTTTATAAATTTTATTTATTATTCAATTATGAAAATTTCTCCCTTTGAAATTATACATATATAAGAGAGACTATATTGTAGGGCAGAATAATGATTATTTATTGAGAATAAATTTTAAATCATTTCTCTTTCTTATTATAATAATTGTATTTTAAAATAAAACTAAATCTATTTATCTATATTATCAAACATTATAAAATAATTTCGATATACAATTGTATTTTAAATTGTTTCCTTGAAAGTTTATTTGCAATTTAAAGATTGAAATTATGTTTATAATTTTATCGAGAAATTTAAAGCACGTGCGTATGAATATATCAATACATTCTTTCTTTTCAGCAACCGTAAAAGAAACTTTTTGCATTGTAAGGGCTCACATTGGCTGAATAATTCAATCCACGATCGACAAACGCAATTTTCTTACTTCCACACGATGAATAAATAATATTTAATTTAATAAAACATGTGTCAACGGTTTAATGGATAAGGAAAAGGCTTTCTCCATTTTTACGCGTGTAACTTGAAAATTCGAAATTCTTCAGATATTCTTAATAGCTTCTTTTCAAGTACAAACTTTTTTACTACCGTTTTCTTTTTATAGTTCTCCTTAGTAACAAGCTTCTCCGAGTTATACTAGGTGATTCAGTCGATGTAAAGTTTACGCGATTCCAGGATAAAAAAGGAGAGCTCTGTATCTCATTATTTAATAACTCATAATTTAAATAACTCTTGGCAATAATTAATTCCAATATTTTATAATTATAATTTATTGTTACGTTTAATTGTTGGCAAACGTAGTAAGAATTTGGAAAATTTTTCACGAAGTGAAAGGAAAGGAATGTTATTTGGTAAATTTTCTAAAAATTTTGAATACGATTTTATTTGAACAATTTGTTTGAGTTTGGTCTTTCTGAATAAAATTCGAGAGACAGACATTTGCTTTTATCTTGTAACAAAAAAAAAAAAAAAAAAAAAAAATAAGAGAGATAAATGTTTGAAATAAAGGCAGATACGAGTGAAGATAGAATGCAAAATTTGGTGGAAAGATTTAACCTGTCGAACCTTGCGTCAACCTTCTTACGCAAGACCAGACTTCCTGTCCCTGTTTACAGAAATTTATCACGCGAAGTAGGCCATTCGATAAAGGCCGACGTATAATCACAAAATTATATTCAATATTGGTAATAACATATTGCAACAATGCTTTACATTATAATTTCGTATATATTTTTACGAAGATAGAGAAATTTATTAGAAAAACAATTTTAGAACTTTAATCGGAGATCATACATATATACATATTAGAAAGGGCAAATTATTGCCAATTTTTTTGCATAAGTCATGATGCAAATTTTACAAATATAAATAACGCTTTAATTTTTCATACATCTTTTTTTTGAATATATCATTATTTCGATTTCTTAAAAAATATTTTGTGACAAATAAAAAAAATATCATTTTAACGAAAAAGAAACGAAATTAAATATCAATAAATTGGTGCATAATAATAAATAATAGGAAACGTCAAAATATTATTGTGAACGGGGAAGCATCAAAGAGAGATCATTTTTATCGCTAGCCAGTGTGGCGGCAAGAAACTCTCGTTTCTTAGAGATCGCGTAGTCGCGTTTCAAGGCACGTTTTAACGTTATTCGTCGAAGGCGGCGTTGCAGGCGTGCACCGAGTGCAAGGTATATCGTGGTTGCTTTCTTGCTTCTTGTTCTCGTGGTACGTACACGCCGTCTTTAAGCCCGGAATAGATTTAGGAAGCGTCGAGCTATGCGACGAACCTTTGCCAAGTCTCTTGGTACATGAATGAGTTAGTTGCATGTGCGTACACGTGCTGCGCTAATTTATAGCATCGCGACGAATGGAGCCGGCCCTTCGAGCACGAAAATTGTGAGATCCTATAGGATCGTTGTAGCGAAACCTTTCGATCGTTCGTGAACCGCAATTTTACGCTTCCTTTCTTTTTCATCAATTATCAGTCCATTGGTATTATCATTTAATAAAGGGATTCTTTTTAATCTGTTAATTTTAATGATAATAAAATTAGTTAGAAGCTTTTATCAGCTATTATATTTATAAAAAAAAAATTATTAACAATGTCGCGTATATATATACTCATTAAGTGACAAAAATCTTTCGAAACAGCTCATATATTATCCATGTTAAGATTATAAAGATAGAATATTGAGGCAGTTGTTCGTGGTAACACGTATCGAAGCCATCGCCACTCCAGAATGTATCCGCTAATCTTAGGCGAGTAAAACGTAGTCATTCAGGTTCGGGTATAGAATAGAATGGGCAAGGGGAGAGAGAACTTAGAACGCGAGGAATTGCTGTGCCTCCGTGAATGCTATCCAGAATGAAAGTTGATCGGTAGAACTGGTCGGGAATTATCCCTGTTAGATCTTTTGTCCCTTCGAAAAGGTATTTACCTGAGAATTTCTTCGCGGTGAACCGCTAACTGTGCTCATCATTGCAGCACTGTTCGTGTTTCTGAAAGAAATCTTTCTCTCTATGATTTAAACCACCATTTTGGGATGATTTATAGATACCTTAAGCGACACCATCATTCCATGCTTTCTTTGAAAACTTCGAGAATTATTTTTACACTTAGCTTAATCTCTTAATCCTGATCGAGTTTTTTTTCCTTTCCAAGTCGTTATTCGCCATTTCAATTTTTTTCAAATTTTCTATCCGTTCACACAATTCCACAATTTATGCGAGCAAAATTTTATTATCCACTTCATCATACATAAATGTAAATAATAAATAGAATTTTGTAATAATAAATACAATATTGGAAATAATATGTATAATTTATAATTATAATATTAATAATGTATAATTTTTTTATTTTTTTATCTTCTCAGGTAACAAAGAAAGATGTTTCTTATTTCAGAATCAAACGATCTTGAGGAAAGGTTGATTTTATTCTTTTCCAGAGGAGGAGCCGTTGGAAAATAATAGGACGAATGGAAATCACACGGCGAGTTCCCGAGGTAGCCCCGTGATCTCAAGCACGCGAGTAACGCCACCCTCGGCGAGCGCGAACTCGGCTCATCTGACCGCCCTACACTCCGCGTCGCACCACCATTTATCTCATCACCAGCAACAGCAGCAGCAACCGGCGCAGCAGCAGCAACTGCAACAACAGCAGCAGCAGCAGCAGCAGCAGCAACACCAGCAGCAGCAACATCACCATCATCATCACCATCACAACAATCACAACAGTACTCATAATCCTTACGTGGAAAATCATAATTCGAATCACGCGCAACAGAATGCTGGCAATCTCGTCGTCGACGTTGAACCGAGCCACGACAATAAGAAACATCGAAATGGGTAAGAATGTTGGAATTATTTTTTATTCATGCTTTCTCCTCATCATTCTTGTAATCGATTCGATGTAGTCGCTTAAGTAGCCTCGTTTATGCGATAGAATAAATAAGTCATAATTAGGTAAAATAATATATAGGATAAATCACTAGGATAATGCGTAATTTGGATCTCAACCTTTTAAGCTTTGAACTCGTTTCATTCGTTCTTTTTTTTTTTAAGAAGCGATTTTTATTGTACAATTTTATTGTGATTGATCGAAAATTATTTGTATTCGAATTAAAAGACATCAGGTGTACAACTGATGAAATTTCGGCGCTAATATATCATTTTATAGCGTCTTGAAAGAATAATATTTTTCTCTGGTATTTTTAAATTATTCATAAGTGGATATGAAATACAGTCAGAATTTAAAGGGTTGAAATATTAAATTCATACAATTTGGGATAATGTGCAGGACTGCTTTTTTATGTATATTTTTTTGTGTGCATTTTTGAATCTCTCAGTGTATTTTCAGTTACTATAAAATAAATTTAGCATAGTTTAGTTTAAGTTTATACATAATTAAGATGATCGTTCAGTGTGAAAATCGTCATATTATGTGAAAATTTTTTTGTATTTTTTGTTATTTAAAAAAATTTTTTTTTTATTGATTACTATAAATATAATAAAATATAATTCAGTGAAAAATTCATTTTTTCAATTTGTTTTTTATCTGTTATATATTAAATAAAAAAAAATTCGATTTTTATTATTTCAAAAAAGTAGATTGAAATTTAATTGGTATAATAAAGAATAGAAAGGAGATAAGTAAATGATGCAAAGGAATATAGGAATGAAATGAAATAATTTGGGATTATTCACTGATTTAGCGAATAGAATCACTGAACAAATTAGTCTCAAAGTGCCTCGTAATAAGTTTAAGAATAACAAAGTTACTATGCTGCGATTGTAAATGATGTATACGGAAAAACTTCTTAAAATCCAATTATAATTATCCATAGAATACTTCATTTTCTAGAGAATGAGAGTTGATTCGAGTTAAACAACTCATAAAATGAATTACCTTTTTGTCCCTGCCTCTTATATCCAGCTATATCATATCGTATTAAAAGTCATAGAAAATTTGCATCAAATGATCTACATATATGTGTGCAAGTAATAATAAATTTATTATATCTTTTATACATATAATAAAACATTTAAAAAAAACGTATTATGCCCTAAGAAATTAAAAAAAAAAAAAAAAAAAAAATGATCTTCATCTTTCAATTTGAAAATTATATTAAAAAATATTCTTGTTATTTTACATTAATAAAACTCTATATTATATAACCTATAATTTATATTAATATTAATAAAATGAAACATTTTTTTTTTTTTACAACGAAATAAACATCTATCCAACCAATTGAAAAAAATAATTTTAAATAAATACATTATATAATCATTTAGATTGAGCAGGACTGAATTTAAAATTTAATTTAAGTTCATGTCAATATTTTATTTATTTATAGTGACTTTATTTGCTAAATTAGGATTATATATATCTATATATACTTTATATATACCTCTATATACTTGTTTCGTTAATTAGCAGCATATCGATAAATTATCTAGGAGAATCCAAATATATCTCTACTCAATTAAGATATTGTCTTGGAAGCAATGGCTGATTAAGGAAACACATTTGGTGTTTGCATAGCGAAATTCCGATCAATTAACGAAGCACTACTGTATACATATATGTACTTCTCAAGAACTTCATTTCTATAGACTCTCAACTAACGATCGATATCAGTCGATACTGGTAAAACAAAAAGAAATAAACGAACAAATATCATTTCTATCTCCTTGTTACTCATCATTATTTCTAGCTATACAAATTTCTTCTCGAGCTCTTCTCCCCTCTCCTTTACCCCCACTCCCTCGCAACTGACTCGCCTGACCTTACCAAGCAGCATTGACATTATTTTCTCTGTTGTCGTCGTGTCGCTCTCTTTCGGCATTTCTTTCCACTTACGTTTCCCCAGTCCACAATGTCGCCGTCTCTACTTCCTCCTCGATGTTTTTCCGTCTTTCTTCTGCCTGCCGATATGTCAGCCTGTTGCTTCGTGCGCTCTCCCTCTCCGTCTTCTTCTTCGTCCTCTCTTTTCTCGATGCACAGGCATCAGCGTCGAGGCAAGAGTCTCCGCTACCCATTCACGCGGTGCACGTGTCCAGGGTGAATGGCACGTGCACGTCGCGTTACCGTGAGACCGAGACGCGTATATTTATATAATACTAACATCGGCACGATTATCGCGTACGGCTAACTACTTACACATCCGTGCGTGCTTGTACTAGAGATTATTGTAATTTGTCTGCCACTTTTTGATTAAAAATCTGATTTGAATGACTTCGAAGATGATTTAGTTCAATGATTTAGTCGGTGTACTTCAGTTGCGCGAGGATTTGTACTTTACTTCTCATCTATTAATTTGTAAATATTAATAATTTTTTTTTAATTATTCTCTCTGTTATTGGATCGTATTTCTTATTTTTTGGGTTTTGACTATTGTTTTTTTTTTGTTTTTTTATTTTATTATTTATTTTTATTGAATATAGATAAGATTTATAAGTTATAATCGATATAACTTTGATGAGTTGTTTTAATAAGGCAACAATTATATCAAATATATCAAAATAGTTTGAAATTTAAATTAATTAAAGTCAATTAATATATTTCTTAATTTTTCTTTATTAATTAATAAAAAATTATGAAAATGTAAATAAGAGGTGAATGAAAATTTAATTATGAAAGAAGAAATTAAATGATAGACACTAGTATTTATTCTTAAAATAATTTTTTTATTTTTCAAAAATTCTAATTTTTTATTACTCTTATCATTATAATATATCTTGATCATATATATCTTTAAAGTTTTTTATTTGTATTTAAGTCGTAAAATTTTAAATAATTATAAAAAATTTAAAATAAAATTTTAATAAAAATGATAAAAAAACTGAGTAAAAAACTTATTAAGCATTATACATATGTAAAATTCAGATTATATTCAACAGGGTATCCGTGCCAACATTTTGAATCTCTTTGAAAATATGGGACAGATTAGAATACGTATGATTATAATTTCTAATTTGTATAGAATCATAAATATATTAAAATTGTATATTTTGACATTTCAATATGATATAATAAATATCGCTTGTGAAATTATTATGAAATAGTTTTCAGATTATTAAAATTAATCTGTTGACAGTTAGATAATTTGAAATAAATGCAACTGTAATTGCAAAATATCGCGTGTCTACATATATCCGTTTCTCTATTCTAGACCGTGCGTAATCCGTTCTGGCACCAGAGAAGTGCATAACAAATTGGAGAAAAATCGAAGGGCGCACCTGAAAGAATGCTTCGAATTGTTGAAGAGACAACTTCCGTCACAAGAAGAGAAAAAATCGTCGAATCTCTCGATTCTTCATGCTGCGATCAGGCATATACATGTAAGTTAATATCTGTTAATTCTTATATTTTTAATGAAATCAATAATATTTAACTGTTTTATATTGTAAAAATAATCTACATATAATTAATTATGATAATTTTGAAATCGAAAAAATATAATTCTGCTTATAATAAAACTTTTTAATCGTAAATTTTTTTTCTCTTAAATCATCTCCGTATACGGTTGCATAATTGTTTTAACAACATTAACAAACTCGATATCATTTGATATATAAATTTTTTTTTAAACATATGTATTCATAATTTATTATAGAATATTTTTTATATCGTTTAGAAAATTAATTTTCTCACTATATATCAGAAATTTACTTTTTAAATAAATTTATCGATATACAAAAAATTATTGAATGCATATCTAAATATATATATATAGAAATCGAAAATCTTAAACTCGCTCACAAAATACTTTGATATCATAAGATGCTAATTGCATTCTTTGTTTTATAACAGTTTCTGTGCTATAATTATTTCGGATTATCTCGAATTATCTGGTCTAGTATGAAATAAAACTTAACACATGGTATTCTGACACGGAAATGTATCATCGTGGCATTTGAATATAAAAACTACGAATAATTTTTCGATGTACACGATGTACACGATACATCAGTTATAATATATAAATTAACTTATCCCAAAAAAGCAGAATTCATAATTCGATTTGTGATGCGTGTTTCATTACGCAATAATTTTTATATATAAAATTCAGTTTCTATAGATCTTTCATTTTAATCATTAATCGTTAATATATTATATCTTGCAAATTATATCAATTAATGATATAACATATTGTAAGAATAAATATTAATTAACTATTTAAAGATAATAATATATAGCCAAAAATCATTTTATATAATAGTTTTAATACAGATGATTTATTCTATATTTAGAATGTAGGAGAAAAATTTTATTTTTTCTGTAATCGCGAATGTATTCCTTCTCATATATCTTTTCCTTTTGCTGCAATTTCGGAAGAGTTGTGAAACTGCATGTGATCATCAAAGAATCACGAATGTGCGTCCTCGCGAAGGTCGACTACACTTCCTCCTTTTCCTTCTTTCGTGATTTCAACTCTGATTCTATAATCAACTGTTTCGCTTCTTTCTCGCACTTCTATAGTGCTGCTGAGTTTGTCTTTGTTGTTTACCATTTGTTTTTATCTTTCTCTCTCCGGTTCGTTTATTTTCTGTATCTCTTTCTCTTTCAGTCTGCGCATGCTTTTCTTTTTATCTACTTACTATACGGTCTGTTTGTTTCTTTTCAATGTGAACGGCATACGTATCGTTTTCACCGTAAATACATGCAAACATCGTTGCTGTTGTTTTTCTTTAACTTGATCGCATGCACTTACAGTATATTATTCTACTTTTATATGACAATTTTTTATTCCTTATTTTTTATAGTACATGTGCATATACATTCTTTTTTCATCTTATCGTTGCTCTATTTGCTGCACAGAGTTGTTTCTAAAGACATGCTGTTCCCCCACCACAGCATTTCTTGTTGTCTCTTCTATCTCGTAATCCCCACTCCTTGCAAGCCATGTCTCTTATCTCTTGCACTCTGCACTTAACCTCTTCTTTCTTTCTGTATGTATCTTCTATCTCATATTTTCTCTCCGTCTGCATTTCGTATTTGCAGTTTCTTTTCCCCTTAGATGCTTTCGTATCTTTGTCAGACTAGTATTTTCTATGTAATTCTGTTTCAAACCTTGTTTTTCTCACTTTAGGTCATCCTTTGCTTCTCCCCACCATGTAAGATGTTCACTTTCTTCGTCTAGTCACATGTTCGTCTCGTTTCGGCATTCTGTGCAGTTGCGCGTGTGCGTACACGACGCGACGTTCTTCCACGTAGAAGTTGTACCTATATGTATTGGTTCCACGTGACTGTGCGGCCATCGGTGTCATGCCGCATGGCACGTACGGCATATGCTACTATCCGAACTTTTATCGTTCGGCGCCATTGTTGGTGACTTCTCAGTACGAGGCGACGCTCGACGTGTTGAAATTACACGGTGACTTACCATAACGACACGTTCCTGCGTAATTATTTCACCCATAATTCTATTGAATGATCGATTGAATATACCCTTTAAGTAATATTAGCGATATAAGCTGTTGTCTTAAAATTAAAGTTTTTTTTTGTTATATACTGTATTTTATTTTATTTACGAAATATTACGAATTATTTGCGAATTTTTATTCGTAATAAAAAATCAATAGAAAACTATTATTAAGTTTTTTTGCAATTGTATTTTTTAGCATTTACAAAAACATTAATAATATATTCTTAAAAAGAAAAGGAGAATTTATCTTTACATAAAATTTACAATTAGCATAAGAATAAGACAAATGATTATCGACGCAATAAGTTTGCCAAACTTTCAAAATCGTTTATTATTTCAGAAATTAGTATGATTAGAAAAATTGAGCTTCATTATTTTGTTTTTATTAAAAATTTGAATATCATCGCAAATTTACAGCTAGTGGAAATGTTTCGTTTAATTTTTATTTGTTTTTATTTTTCCTATAAATGAGAACTTAACTGATAAGCATATTCGAAGTAACTGAAGTATAATATAATTATTAGATGTTAAGTGGTGTGATAAAGATTCCTTTAAAAGTCGATATATCGGAATAATAAATATTACATAAAAGGATACTCGACATAAATGTTTTAAAAAAAAATGTTATACATTGAAGATACGAATGAAAGGGATAATATAATCCACTGCTAATATGAAAATGCTACAAGCTGGTTTAACTTACTCTGTTTTCGTTAGTTCGCGAAAAATCCACCAGTTTCGCGTAGTCTCGAGTTCGATAAAGTTTAATAAAGTACATGTACGAGTTCCGCAACACGACGTGGCAGATATGGGAGATGTAGAAAGAAACGAAAACGCTATTTGCGTATATCCACGAGTCCAATATTGTATGTGCGAATCTTGTTGGAGGCGGTTTACCCACGTGCTTATAGATCGCGCGTGCGCTTATTCATGCAACGGCCTTCGTACTCCTTCCTCTTCACCTCTCTCTATTGTCATTCTCTCTCCTTTTAACTTATACTTCAGTATGCTCGTCTATTTCTGTTCTGTGTTTCTCTCTGTCTTTTTCGCAATGTATATACCCCTCTGCTTGCTCCCCTCTCCTTATCTCTCATATTGTGTTCTATCCTTGTTCATTCTGTCTTTTTTGATCTTATTGTTAATATCTTAGATCTCTATCTTTTTCTTAAAGTGAATTCTCTATTTCATTTTTCGTTTATCAGTTTATATATAATAATACTGATTATATTTTCTGTCTGCGTTTCTTTTTGCAAACGATTGCATCTTTCTTTCCCTCTTGAAGATTTTACCACGTGTATCTATTCAGTATATACCCTTTATTGCCACTTATTATCACGTGCGTTCCTCTTCGAAATTTCTGATGATATCGAATCGAAAATTTAACACATTTTATCGGATAAATGAATCCAAGATTTTTGCCGTCACACATTATAATTTTATTGATTGCTATTCTTAAAATTTTTGAATTAATTTTAAACTATATTTTTATTCTAACCTCTTATTAAATTTATATATAATTCGAATATTTGTATTCGATTGATTTTATAATTTTTTTAATCTTAATTTTTAATTTGACTCACTTTTGACATTCAAAATTAAAATCATATTTGTGATAAAATATATAAAATAAAAAAATATTTTAAAAATTAGAAAAAAATACTAGATTTCAAATTTGATTTTTACGTAATATTATAACAGTACAAATATATATTGATTAAAAAATTAATTGTAAAAAATTAAATATGAATTATGCTAGATGCTAGACTATTTTCAAAATTCTGGAAGTTGCATCGTTTCTTTATCATGATTTCAAACTTCCCACTTTATAAACTTTTTCGTATCTGTGACGTAAACCGAGCAAACACGAACGCGCATGAAATGTATCAGATTCGAATTTGTACACAGCAGGAATTTTATCCTTGCATATTTTCTTTCTTGTCTTGCTTTGAAGCGCGTGCATCATTTGTTAGGTGTCGATGCTCGTTGTCACGTGCACGTTCCTTCACGCATGTTCGTGCTGACGTCAAACGCAAGGCTTATCGTATTTCGAGGGAGAGGTGTCCTGAATCTGCAGGTGTATCATGTGACGTTCGCTAAGGTATTCTCGAAAGCGATGCGAGAACATTTCTATCAGCTTTCTCTCGTTTTCCTCACGTGCGCGGTTACTTTTCGAAATAGTCTATAGTCTATAGTAAAATAAGAAAAAAAAAAATTGAATAACTTTAATTAGAAATGAAACTGTATCATAAATTCTATTATTAAATTGTAACATGAAATGTTTGAAGTTCTTTAGTATTCTCATTGCAACTGACAATGAATAAACATGAAAATTTATATCATTTATTTTTATATCATATGATTTTTTTTAAATATAAACAAATTATTTATTTTAATATATTTTTAATAAATGGATTTAATTTTATAATTAATTTTCAACAATTTTAATGGCATATTATATCCTAGTATAATTATTATATTATATATTATATATTAAAATGTATTCGTGAATAATCAAAATTTGATTGAAAACGTGTTTACATAATCTCAAGGATTTTTTGTATTTTATATTCTTTTAATCGAAAATTAAAAATTAATTAATTTTTTGTATGTTCAGTAAAAAATTAAGAAATTTTTTTTATTAATATAAATTGTCTCGTTTTTTAATTGAGAGGATTTTTTTGCAGATGTTGAAAAGGAAGGAACGTGATTATGAACATGAAATGGAAAGGCTTGCCAGAGAAAAAATTGCTGCTCAACAGAGATTGTTAGCTCTGAAGAAAGAACTTGCTGCTACGTGGGATCATATTGATTTTAATACTCTTTTACCAGAACAGAATTCGGTTGCCGATATAACGGCTACGAGAAGTGGTAAGTTTTCTAATATATGGTATAATTTTAATATAGTTATTTTCAAAAATTTTTAAAAATATGTTGGAGAAAAATTCAAATTTCTATTAAATCTTTTAATCAAAAATTTAAAAAAAAATTATATTATATACACAATACAACATGATATAAAACAATGTAGATAAATTTAAAATAAAATAAATAATGTGAAATAAAAAAAATAATATACAAAGTAATATAATAGACAAATTTGAGATAAAATTAATAATGTGAAATAAAAAAAATAGTATAATAAAATTAGCAAATATTGAAGTAATTATTAAAGTTTCAGAAAACATGGAGGTTGATGTGACTGGACTTGCTCGAGGTGGTACAAGGTATAGTAGTACCAGCAGTCTGAGCAGCGCAGCCACGGTCAGTTCACCACAGACACTTCAAACCACTAGTACGACTTCCAATATTCATAATCAAGTTGCCACCGCAGCCGTAGTCTGCCAAACGCAAGGAATGAATCTTGCACCAAGTTCTAGGGAAAGTCCACCTGCGAGTTCAAGTCCTGGATCATCCGCACCTAGCATTCCTACTCCGGCACAGGTATATTGAAAATATCTAAGTTTTTAATGTAGTAATAGATAGTATAGTATTAAGCAAAAAGAAGGAAATATAAGAGACTGCTGGATTAGGTCATCGGCTAAACGCATGGCCAATAATCCACAAGTCCCCGGATCGAATCCCGGTCGAAGTAAAATTTGTGATTGACCAATTTTTCTTCATTTGAAAATGGTTAAACTGCAGAAAATTTTCTCTGAAAAAAAGCACCGTTTTTAAATTATTAGCCCGTTATTTATTCTTGGACACAACGTGTTCTTTAGCGTTGTGTGTGAAACGGTGCAAGAAAAAGAGCGCATAGGGGATTGGTTGGAACTAATTTATATAAATATATATAAATTAGTTATACTCCAATGCAACATATAATTTATTTTTATAAATCAAATGTATTTAGAGACTATATAATATTTAATTAAAAATTTATTTATCAAATTGTTAAAAAAACTGTAAAAAGATGACTTTTATTATTATTTTATTATTTGTAAAAAACAAATATTTTTTAATTTCTAATTATTTTTTTTTAAAAACTTTTATTATTGTATTCATAAATATTAATACAATTCTTTTTAATACATTGGTTTCTTGTTATTATTTAAAAATTTATTTTTTATTTGTATTTTTTTATGATAATGATTTTATAATGATCATCATGGGCTGGTAAGAAAGTAATTTAGTATCTTTTATTTGAAAATATTTTCAAATATAAAAATAAAAATTATTTTTCTTATTAGAAAGTTCAAAGATTATTGTATCTTCACATAACATATAATAAATTTCCATTTTAGGAGAAAGTTAATACTTCACCAACGGGTATAGTACAGCAGCCGCACCAGCTGCACTTACCGATCAACGCTCAGATATTGAACACGAGTCAAGGTTTACCAACTATCGTCCCAACGCTTCAACACATCGGACCGAGTTTGAGGGTGATACCTGGTGACACAAGGCAACTTCTGGTTACTCACACAGCTGGCAATAACGAGTCCAGGCCGCTCACGTTAGCCGTACAAAATTCGTCGGATCAATCGAGGCCGCTCATTGCTGTGCAATCGAACACTGGAAGTGAGCCAAGGCCCGTAGCGCTGGTCGTTCACTCGTCCACGGCCAACGACAACAGGGTAACGATCGTGCATTCTAATCTATCCAACAACGACAGGCCGTTGGCCCTAGCCGTGCAGTCGTCCGCCAATGACGTCAGGCCAGTTACATTTGTGCATTCTGCAAACGAGGGAAGGCCTTTAGTTCTTGCTGCGCATTCTCCTGCATTGAATGTGTCAAGTGAGTTACTTACTGAGGACTATCTTGTGCATACAGTGTATTTATAAATTTTTTGTGTCTTATTTGTGCATATTCATTCAATTCTCTTCAATTAGATTATATATATTTCTCTATGTTGTCAACATTACTAATTAGAGAATATAATTTTTGGAATTTTATGGAGAAATATGAAGAAGAATATTGTATTATGTAAAAAAAGATCCGTTGAAACTATTATTAATCTTTTAACTATTTAGATAATATAATATTTGTGAATTGAATTGCAGATGCTCAAACAAGGATAAGAGCAGGAGATGCGCAAACCACGCATAAAATGGTTGGTGGTGTGACATTGGTAGGCGGAAATGGATCGGAATTGACCAGACTTCCCGGTGGCGCTGAATTAAACATACTCCCTGCAAATGGTAATGCTTTATATTGAATATGTTTTATATTGTCTTCTGTTTGACCAATAAATCATTCGAATTCTGTTTCCTACAATTGCCACTAGATGGTTCATTTATGATTCCAATTCTCGCAAGTTATCGCTTCTCTATTCAGTTCCTATAAAAATAATCATCCTCCACGTATATTGTATATACGTAGCACCATGTATCCAAGATCAGATCGTACTATTACGATTTTGTTAATGAATTGGTGCTAGATTAAAACTATTCACTTGCAGAGCGACTCGTTTATTAATTCCATATACGAATTGCTTTGAAGGTGGCTGACAGAAATTTTAATCTTATTATTAAAAATAATGGAAATTATTATATTATTATATATTTTCAATAATTTCACAATATTGTTCATAAATGGTTTTAAGTTTTTCATGGTAATGAGTGAAAATGATTTATTTCACACAATAATTTAAAGGATAAAATATATCTTATTGTGCAATTACCTCTATGGGTTGCAGGATTGACGCTGAGCCACACAGGAGTGTCGCTTCAAACCACAACAGGTAAACCAGGTTCGACAGTGATGCAAAACGCTCCGTCCACAGAGGGTATAGCTCACATCGTTGGTCCGCACACACCCCTTTCCGGTTTGACACCAATTGTCACGCCGATGACCGTTGTTTCGCAAGGAAATCAAGTGACTGCTCATATCCTAGCCCCCTCCAGCCTTGCGGGCAAAATGATAACCACCCCAATTTTAAAATCTGTGGCACAAATGCCGATCGTGAACGCTCAGTATATCAATACAACCACTCTGGTGAAGCCTGTTGTTGTCGTAAGTTCACCGTCAACATCTACACCACAATCGACGACGGCTTCCAGTACACAACCTTCCTCGACCACACATTCGACCGTCTGACAGAATCAAAAGAAAGTGAAACTAGCTTGAGGAATGGCTAGAGTTCTGTGTATCGAAGCACGAAATTGCGGAGATTACGGAATATCGGTACAGATGTCCATGTTTTGTTATTATTTAACGCGCCTCGCGTGTATAGAATCAACGACTATACACGACCGATACAACGTGTTGATGGGAGATAAAATATAAAAATGGCAATTAGCAAGAATAGATACGAAGAAGAGAATTCTGCCCGTCATGCTATTCCCGACATCGAAGGAGAATTTCTTATTTTTTAAAAATTCAATTGCGTTCCTTCGTGTTTTGAATTTTGAATGTTTATGCTCTTCAAAGAGCGAGAGGACTGAAATGTAGTAGTAAAGGTGTTAAAAATGCCGTTGCTCAACTCGTGCGATTGTGCATAGTACCTCGAATGCTTTAGAGAAGTACTTATCGGAGGCAAAGTTTGATTGGAAATTGAATAGACGCAAGCGTCATAAAAATTAATATAATAAGGCAGCTTCAAATGAAAATAATTTTCTTCGCTTTATTCAGATGCAACGAAAAAGAAGAAGGAACCACATTGATGATAAAATTTTTCAATGTGAGCATTTAATATTTATTGTAAATTCAAAATTTCAATGGTTTATTTGATGAATTATTTTTTTTCTTTTTTTTTCATTTACAACAAACTACCGGGAAATGGAATGATCTTATGATCGTGTTATATATTATCTGTCAAAAGATTTCTTTCAGAAATTAATTCAGATTATATATCTTATATATATATATATATATATATATAAAAGATATATATATTTTGAATGAATTCTATTGACAGATGGACCCATTTGGACTCGTAATACTGGAATATTGTTTGCATGATTTTTAAATTGCTTGACCGCAGAGTATGAGAGATTTATATTGTTTTTTTTTTTTGGTATCTTATTGATGAAGTTCAACAAAGAAGAAACTAAACGACTGTGTTTAGATAGAATGATGTTTAATTAAAGAATTGTATGATATATAAGATTCGTTTAAATGTTTGAAATTGATCGAAATCTTGAAATTGGATGGATGATAAATATGCTTGTGCTTTTAAATTAATCATATATATTAAATAGTGGCTGTGGAAAAACGTTAATCGTTTACGCCTATAATTTACTTTTGGATATTAGATGATAAATTGAATTTCCATTGCGTAGAATATGCATATTTTTCGTTTTTCTTTTTTCTACATATGTAGACTGTGCTCAAGTATTTATTCGTTTCTATTTATTTTACAAAATGCAACAATGAGCATAAGCAAAACTTTTGTCTTGGCTTCGTAATTTTGATATTTTTATCTGGTTCATTTCAAAAGAGCATTCATTTGTGATCTTTTTTTTTGTTGAAGAGCCAAACGAAAGAAAAAGAAAGAAACGAAATAAGGAAAAATGTTACATAAAAGTGAGTAACCCGCAAAGCACTTATACATCCTGTGGACGCCGGATCAATTGTAATCTAAAATAATTATTATTATTTTACTCAGGAAATTTTTTCACTTTTGTATATCGTACCATATAAATAATTGCAATAATATATTTCCAATAAGTTTCAATAATTATTTCATTCTATAAAAACAGCTCATATAGAAATGGCAAACAAATAAATATGTAATCTAAATTAAATATATGCATATGCAGTTTTCTCCATAAAATTGTAATAAATTATGCTAGCCAAAGAATTCTGTATTAAAAATAAGAAAAATTATTATGATTCCAATATTGTAAATATACTACAACTTGAATTAGATAGAAATAGAAAAGTATGGATGGATTTTTGGTGATTTGGCGTCCACTAGACAAGGGTTAATTATATAGTATTCTTGTTTCTGAAAAAAAAAATGTGTATATACTTGAATTTAAATCGCAGATATTATATTTTGCATAATATTTTTCTGCAAGTGTTCAGATGAACGAACGGGATAAGAAAGGAAAGCTTCTGATTCGCGTTGCAAGAGGAAACCGGAATTATTGTATACGTACATATTATTATCGTACTATTTTAAATTAATTTTTCTATGCGTAAAGTAAAAAGAAAAAAATAAGTGATTTATGTTTCATCTTGCAATATTAAGCTTTTTGAGCTTTCATTCGATATACTCGATATGAGACCGTTAATAGTGGTTCAATTGTGAATAGTTTAAATGGTATAAAATACAATGTTTATAATTACATGAACATCTTTTCAAATCATTTTACGAATGATTGCTGACAATTTTACAATTCTCGTCGTTCGAAATTTCATTTTAATATTTGAAACTTATCAAATCTTGTTGCAGAAAGTACAAAAAATAAGCTCTCTCTCATGATCACAAATTTATTTCTTCCTTTTGTTTTACATATTCTTCCATAAATTCACTTTTGTAATATAAATAATTCCTTTTTTTTTTTAAATTTTTGGAAAAAAAATTGAAACAAATTTTTTCTACTGAGATAATGCAGTGAAAATATAATACAAAAAAAAAAAAAAAAAAGTAGTTTCAAATTTGAGAACGACACAAAAGAGTCATGTGTTTGAAAGCGTTGTAATTGGAATTTTTATACGTATGTGTGTGAATGTATGTATGTATGCATGTGACTGTTAACGGTCTCTTTCAGAATTTGTACATTAGTATTATTATTAACTTGTATTTGCGTATACAGACATATATATATATATATATTATCTTTTTTTTTTATTTTTTAAATTATTTAATCAAAGGCTTTTTTTTGGTCAGTTTAAATGCTGATTATGTATGTAATATGCGTGGGCGTTGTGTCTCCTTGCGGAAATTCGTTGAAGGATTTATTAAGTTATTGTTTAGCGGAGAGTAATATTATTTTCAAGAAAGGGATTAAACATCTAGGACTTCGTGAATTGTTATCCTATTTTAGAAACGTTGGAAACGTCACCAAATGTGCTTTAACGCGTTCATTATACAACAGATTTTATCACTATTCGAAATTAGATCACGTATGGCTGTAATTGTAATTATATCATTATATTATACTATATAATTATAGTATTACTATATAGTGTATTATATAATACTATAATATACTATAATGTTATATAATATACTATATAATATTATACATAATAATAATTGTAGCATAGTTATGATAAGTTATATATACATTTTGATAATCTTAAAGTATAAAAATGAAAAATGATTTTTTTTTTTTTTTTTTTTTTTTTTTTTTTTTTTTTTTTTTTTGAGCAATACTCTAATTCGTACTATGACTTGAGTGATATTCGTACTATTCTATTTTGTCTTAATTATCTTAATTACAAGTCAATGTTTGAAAAATAATTATTTTAATCCATTGCAACATATTCCTACAATGAACGCGTTAAACGAAAGAAAATATACAAATAGCTACACTTCGTTTATTCGGAATTGTTTCGATGAAGTACTGTTTGTGAAATAACTATAATAGTTATCAATTAAACACTACTAAATTAGTAGAGTTTACTAATAATCATTAATCAATTAATGGTATTTCGACTTGCGCATTCGATTTACTGTTTAATCAAATGTCTTCATCATCCCTGAATATTCAGGAGAGTTATGAAGTTGATTCCAAAGTTGATTATTAAAAAAAAAAAATAGTACTTTATTGTAACATCTGTTTAATTAAAGAAGAATTTTATATTCTTCTGCATCGCACATTCTTCTGTTCGCCATTTTTTCAGTATTATGACGTCCAATGGTCACGGTGACTTTTTCATGTTTCAATGAAAATGTAGAATTGAAAGAATTTATGCCAGATTTTATATTGTTATTAAATTGTCGCTTTGCGTTGACCTTTCGATTTCAAATTCATTGAACGCTTTAATTTTTGGTAATTGATTAATTAAACGAAAATGGAATAACAGAGGTAGTTCTCGCGTGACACACACAAAAAAAAAAAGAAAAAAAAAAAAAAAAAGAAATTGCTCGAGAACATAGAATTTGGCGCATGCACTAGTCATTTTTTGTTCCCTCCTTGTTGGATGGAACCGTTTTTCTCTGCTGAGCTTTCCAATTGCAATTCGAGACACGTTTGTTTATTAATCTTTTTTTTTTTTTTTTTTTTTTTTTTTAAGCGTGCAATGGATTACTTTATAGATGTTGGGGGCATTCTTAACACATTATGCAGAATAAAACAGCAACAGACGAAGGCGCAGACGAACATTATTATTAATTATCGGTTCCTTCGCTGAATGCAAGGCGAATAACGAAAAATATCATTTACCTTATGTTTGTAAAAAAAAAAAGAAAAAAAAATTAATTTTTAAATTAATACAATGAAATACATAGATATGATAAAGTAGAATTGTAACACTAGAATTATAAAACCCTTCAAAATGATGGGTTTAAAATATTTTATTTTTATAATTATTTTTATTGTCCAGACATAAATTATATAGGAAGTAAGCCCAAAAATTACATAAGGACTAAATTTTTTTATATTTAATATAGAAAAACGAAGATGTTTGAAAGAATTAATTTTTTACTTTTATTGTGATAGAAATGAAATTGTAAATAATGTTTATTTTTCATTACTATGTATACAATGATATCAAATCAAGATTTTCATATCAAACGAAACAATTCCTTCATAAAATGAAAGAATTTTGTTGTCTTTAAAGTTTTTTTTTTCATTTTTCTATGTTACTTAAATATATTGTCATTTATAATATTATATATATTATATATATAATATTATATATATTATATTAAAATAACAATATATTAGTATATTATATATTATATTATTTATGGTATATTACATATGAGTATATTCAGTGTTGTTCTAGTGTTAAATAACAAACAATTAAAAAAAAGAAACAAATTGATAAATAATTTGAAAAAAAAAAGAAAGAAAATTTCAAGACGGTTATACTCACCTTGCATTTAGTGAAGAAAGGACAAAAAAAAAAGAAAGTTGATGGCAAGTTGAATCAAAGTCGGATATTTGCTGTTGAATAGCAATCGCGAATGAAAGTGAATGCAGGGAGAGAAAAAGAAGGAGAGAGAAAATGCAAACAATAAAAATATCCGTTTTGTACATAAATAAAGGAAAAAAATTAAAAAAAAAAAAAGAAAGAAAAAATAAAAGAAATCTCGTCGGTCGACGGGGAGAGAGAAAGTAGAAAATGAAATAAACGTGCGGGAAATCTATGTGTACATGAATAATGTGATATAAGTAATTAATAAAAAAAAAATTACTTAGCACTATAGCGTTTAAGCAGAAACAAAATGAAAAAAAAAGAAAAATGTTAAATCGTTTACAATGTAGATGTATGATTGCTAACTATTATTTACTAACATCCTAAAAAAAAAAAATGAAACCGTAAAGGGAGTCTAATTGTACATAGAGTAAAATGCGAGAGTGAGAGGGAACGAGATAAAGATAAAGTAAAAGGAAAAAGATAAAAGAAAAATCATGAGAAGATATAATTATATTGATTATCGAGAGTCAAAAAAATGCAGAAACGGAATGAAATAACATAAAATATGGCAGAAAAAAAAATGTAAGAGTGAGAATGAGAGAGAGAGAGAGAGAGAGAGAGAGAGAGAGAGAGAGAGAGAGAGAGGGAGGGAGGAGAGGGTAATGGAAATAAGAAAAGTTGTAATTCCAACGTGTCTCATGCATCCCTCGTGATAAATATTCTGTATATTATATTTCTCGTGTGAATGGAATAATTAAGAGTGAAGAAAGAAGAAGAAAATAATAAAAAAAAACGTGTGTTTGTGCAGTTCTAGTAAGAGTGTTGTTGTTGTTGTAGTCTATGTCGAATTTTGTTATATGCCACCGCTGGTATATATGAAACACATGATATATCTCATGAACCTCTTTGAATGATTTGTTGTGTTTGAGAGTGAGTGAGTGAGTGAGTGAGTGAGTGAGTGAGTGAGTGAGTGAGTGAGTGAGAGAGAGAGAGAGAGAGAGAGAGAGAGAGAGATGGAGAAATGAAATAAATAACACGATGAAAATATAAAAGAAATATGAAAGAGAGAGTGTGACACACAAAGGATCGAATATCTAGATGCGTGCAACACTTTTTGTTTTCGAAAAGAGTGCGACAAATTTCAATACAATCTATTACAATAAAAACGTAAGCGTGAAGCGTTGCCCAGTCCTCCTTGTATCCGCCTTGAATATACATATGTAGATGTCTGGCCGATAATTTTCGACCAAATTTCAACGTGTGGTAAGAAATTAAATAGCACGAGGGATTATTACAATCTTAACACGCTCAAGATGGTGAAGTAATTTATTGGAGGATGCTTCTATTTGATATCTAACATCATATGTTGATTAGAAGTAAAATATTAAATATTAGAATAACGATACAAATTAAAGAAATATAGGCCGGATTTATCTTATTGCTTGAGGATTAATATTTTGTATTTATTATTTCTGTATAAAAATTAAAAAAAATAATATAACGATAGAAAATCATAACATCGTTAATGAAACATATCAATTAAAAAATATTTATTATGGAAATGCATTTTAATATATTTATGGAATTAATGTACATAAAATTAAATGTACTAGATCTTTCATTTAAATAGTTGGATAATATTTCTAAAATAATCAAAGATGAAGAAAATTTTCTCATGCTCATGCATCTATTTACATGAAAAACTTTGTATATTTCTGAAGCTTTTCCAGAGAAAATAATAAAATTATTCCAATATTGGCTTAAAATAGATTAATAGATCGCTGGAATTCGATGGGTCCTAAAAATTACTTAATTTTTCAAATTTTACCGCCATCTTGATCGTGTTCAAGAGAATTTATAAATAAAAAAGAAAAAAAAAATGGGAAGTCGATGCGAAGGGGTACGAGTAATCATGTTTTCGAATTATTAATTCGTGATGTTTTTCGTTCTTATAAATGATTGAATGTCGAATAAATTAACGATGTTGCGTGGTTTTTAAGAGAAATATTATAAAGCGCTGTGAAATTTGACCAGACAAAGGAGGAAACATGAAGTTGTAAATAGAGGTTCGAATATGTTTTTTCTGAATAAATTCTACGATATCAAGGGAATTTTTTTCCCAAGGGAAACAGCAGTATTAGACTACTTTGTAATTATTAGTGACATTAGGAACAATACATATTAATTCGAGTTTTTTAATTGCAAGAAAGTTATTATGTGTGTAATGAGTTTCTTCGATGAGTTATACGAATGTGAAATTATAAGTATATTAAATATGTTTTTTATAAATATCAGAATTAGTAGAATGTCCATCGTATCCCTTCGCGTGTGATGTTTCGATAAATAATGGGTTACTATAAGGATTATTAATAAAATCTATTTATTTCTATATATATATATTTTCAAATTTATTTTTATTTTTATTAAATTGTAGATAGAAAATTAAAATTTCTAAAAAATCATTATGGTGACCTATTATTGTACAAATCGTGAAGTGAAAATTAATAATTAATAATCAAAAAAAAAAATTGAAAGAACTATAATAAGTGTATTCTATATTTCAATATTAATGAATTAATATTTAATATTTTTCTGATGAAAGTATAGAATATTATTTAATAGAAAGAACATATTTCTAAAATTATTTAAATTTTTTATTTTCACTTCACAATTATGTAAACTTTCTAATAATAGAAATATAAATTGCATGCATATTGAATTTGAAATCCCGAGCGTGATCAAAATGAAAGTGTAATAATGGATATAATGTTACAACCTCAAATCTCATTTGTTTCAATTTACCTCGATGACCAGGTGGACAATCGTCTCTTCAGTTGTTCGTTATGGTGGTACACAAGCAAGAAGAAATTAGATTTTAAAAACAGATTCAATAAAGTGAAAATCGAAATCAAGTCTGTTATTTAATCACAAGTACACCAAAAGTCTTTTTTATTGTAGATTTTATTTTAATCAAATTTTTTAATATTGTTTAGTTTTTTTTAACAAAAAAAAGGACTAGTAAAATTCTAGAAATTTTAGTTAAAAATAAAAAATATTTAAAATATTAAAAATTTCATATTCAATAATGTTTTTTTAAAATGTCCTTCATATAAAATTTGATAAAATCAAAAATCAGAATTATTTTTATGATTGAAAAATCAA